TTGGTTCAGTTCAAACCCAGGCTACTGATATAGGAAGCTTAAAGCAGTCGTGTGTCTTTGCCTTGGGAGTGGCGTCAGAAGCAAAATTTCTTATATTTTCTTTAACAACTTGTGATATCCATTAGTAGCTATCTAGTTTAAATAAGTTTTGGGGCAGTGAGTAGGATGGCTACCCAGGTAAACAATTCCTGATTATCTTTAAGTATTATCCCCAGCAAATTCCACACTTGTAGGGAAGACAATGAAGTTGAAGGAACACCTCAGGAACAGGTTGTGGCAACCAACTTCAGTATTTCTACCAAGAAAACCACCTGGCTGTGTCCATGCAGCCACCAGGATCTGAATGTAACTTAAAGACTTTACCTTTTCAAGAGGGGACAAAGGCTATCTATTCAGACAAGGTAGACAAGAAAGGATAGTATGAAGATGCAGTCCTGCCAGGTTTTAAAGGGAAGAAACAGCACCATGAAGGGGGGGAGGGGAAGACAGATCTTTTTGGTCAATTGGCAAACCTATGTTAGAAATGAATGGTACTGACAAAAAAAGGAAACTTTCAGTTCATTAAAACTTTCATGATCCCTGGCCACTATTTCTTTAACTGGTCCTGTTTTTCAGATATTTAATTACATTTTAATTTTTCATTAATTTAGTCACATCCTCAACTCCAACTGAGGAGCTAAAGTGTGCGCTCACGCCATGTAGTCCTGCAGGTTCTTCCAAGCCTGCTTTTGGCCCTATGGATGCAGTTTGGGGATTTTTTGCTGGGTCCTGAGCCTATCATGGTTTCTGAAAAAGGAGACCAGGAATGATGCTTAAAACAAAGAAGAATTTTCTTTTACTAGATTAAGTACACACCATTTCCCCCAATTCATGCTCAGAGCATGCATTTCTATGCCTCTGCCCTGTATCTGCCTTAAGAACTGAAAGAAAATAAAGAGGGCATCTCACTCCACTTTTAGCACTGGCCTCAGACAGCAACCAGTGCAGTCAACTGATTTTTTTCCCCATGGGTCAAGAATATGCAATAGACAAGGAAGTCAAAGCATGACACAATCAGGAGAGGTGCTGAAGAAGAGGAAATAGACCAAAGCTATTAATTTAAGGTTTTTGCCCTGAGGATAGGAAGGAATGGCAGTGGGGACAGGAGGAAAGAAAATAATCAGGAATGGAAAACATTGATAAACCAAACATTTGTTTTTGTTCAATATAAAGCCACTATAATTCTCTGAAATGCAGCTGCCTCCCTGATGCCTGGGTGCAGGCAGCCAAGGTCATCTGGCTTACCCTCTTCTGCTCTAACACAGTTTTTAATGTAACATTTTCAAAATGTAATTAACATTCCTTCTATCTCTGAGCAGGGCCAGCACAAAGTATTTTGCTGTTCAAAGCAGAGTAACAAAGGTGACCCCGGTGCTCTGCAGATCAAGATGCATAATACCCAATGAGAAGAAAACCCAACGCACCCCCTCTCTACCAGGCAGTAAATGCTAATAGTTATGGTGGTAATAGTTACCTTTTGTGACACATATAGCGTGATGGCTTCAGCAGCTGCCACAAAATGTCTACTAGTAGGGTTGGCCCTCTGGAAGGGAGGCACTTGCTGACCCACACATTGGCAAAAATTCCTAAGGCTTATATAGCCAATATAAGAACCAGGTACAACAGGATAGCCCTCTTAGTGTCATTAAACTCTTTCTATATCACCATCTTCGTCTTCAGAGGTGAGACTAATTCTTTCCCTAATTTTGGAATTTAAAAAAAATGACTGAGTGCAAAAAACACTTTATTAGGCAGTACAAAAGATGGAAAGAGTTCCTTCAATGACAAATAAAGGAACAGAAGAAATTATTATCCTTCTTGGCCAGGACGGACACAAAGATTCCAGGTTCAAGATGCCCTGTTTTTCAATCTTCTCCAACCTGGAGATCCTCTAAATTCTGGGACTTCAACTCCCTGAATTCCCTGCTTGCATGGAAGTTGAAATACGCTTAGCAAAAAGCCAAGATTAAAGACGATGGGATTATGGCTAGCATCATACCCTAGCCAGCATAGCCAATGGCTACATCAGTTGGTAGATATTGTAAGCTGTGGAAAGTTGAATTAAAGGCTAGTGTTTACTCTCTGTCTGACATTCCTACTGTAAGCTGTGTTTTAAAGCATTGTAGTCTGGCCTGAAGATATATGAGTTGACTATACAACAGAAAGCAGCCACTTAAGCACCATTCTTTCCATTTTCAACACACTGCCTTCAATGGCACTCATCATGGCTGCTATCTTTTACTAAGCCCTTTACTATGCTTTCAACAGCAGCAGCAATTTGGCAAGGAAGAGGTCATCTCACAGAAAAGCAGAGGAAGTTCACCTGAGTAATTTTGTCCAGTCAGCTGCTGTTAAAAGCAATAAGGAACAAATACAAAAGACAACATGACAACCCTGTTAAAATGATTAGTTGAAGAATCATTTGAAAGAGAAAGTAATGCTGTATAGCACTGTTGCATTACTCAGGGCTCTGCAATATTCTAGACTCAGGCTCCAAAGGTTGATTTGGAGCACATGGAGTATCAGTGTAGCACCTGTCTGCAATTTCTTAAAGCAGTCATACATTTTAGGGGAATCATGCGGGAGTTTTAAATACTGCAGGACATTTTAAGAAAATGCAACTATTTTGAAAATGCAACAACTAGAGTAGTGATGTTGATGGGAAATCCTAGGAATTGTGATCTGGACATTTGGGGAGTTCCAGGCTGGAGAAACTACCCTAGGGATATGGATTTGAAAGCACTGGAAACAGCTCCTGAAAATGAAATTTATTAAAGCTTTCTTATGGAGAAAAGGAATCTCTGCTCTTAGGTATAGGAATGGCTTGGTCAATAGACTTGATCCAGCAGATGGGTGTTACTGTGCTAAATTTTAAGGAGGAAGGTATATCCCAAGAGGATGGGCCCAGGATAGACTGACCTATTATACTGCTGATCAAAGTGATTATCCATGCTCCCCCCCTTTAGTGTTTTTTTAATTGTTATTATGTAGATATTCTCAAATGGATGCTTAATTTCAGGAGAGAGAGAGAAAAGAAATGATGGGTCTCAAGTGTCTTTGAATTCATGTGCTCCATATTCCATAAATGCAGAAGCTGGTTTGTGGTTTTTCAGCAGTGGGATCAGGAAGCGACATACTGGAGCCAGAGACAGAAGAGTAGCAGGGGCATAATGCATACTGTGCACATAGAAGGCTCCAGATTCAAACCCAGGATTTCTAAGTACTGTAGGGGCTGGATAAACATCCACTGAGTATCTGCCAGATCAACACTACCAGACCAGATGCACCAATGGCTAGGACTGCATTGCACTAAGTCATGGTTTGATTGTTAAATCACAATTGGTTGTGTTTACCCACATTAAGCCATAAACCATGACTTACTAACCTCAATTATAGCCAAACACATCAAATTACAGGTTGGTTTGCACAACATTTGGCTAAAATGTCTTTAGAATCTGTCACTCAGTGTGGTATGTGAACCCAGCCAAGAGGGTTAGATTATGGCTTAATGTGTTGTACAAACTCAAACACTAAGGTTTAATGCAGGTATGTATAGGTTTTATACATACATACATACATATAGGTTATATGCTTAAAAAAAACAGCCTACGGCTAAGCTTGATGTAGAAATCCAGCCACTGTAAGGCAGCTTCACATCTCTTCCATGGACTCTCATAAATCTTCTCTGAAGCATCCTGCTGGAAAACAGGATGCAGGTGTCTTTGTGGTCCACTCCAGCTGGGCTGTGCTCTTACTCCCTTTACACAACATATTTATAAAAACCAATGCAGGCCTTTCCTACATTCTGGGGGCCACCCTGATTCCCAGAGGGTGGGGGTGGGAGAGGGAGGAGATTAGGAGAATGCTTGCCAGGATCTGCCGTTTCACAGCTCGCCATACCTTCAGGCAAACTGAATCCACCTGACCCAAGTTAAGCCCTGCAGGCTGCAACAGCCGCCCTTTCCCCTTCCGCTGCAAAGTGGCCTCTCTTCTTCAAAGCCCACGAAGGACCTCTGATAAATGAGGGAGGAGGGAGGGGGGGTTAAGCGCAGGGTAGGCCTGAAGCGGAACGCCAGGAGCTCTCCTCCCTCTTGGCATCGGGCTGTAGACAACCCAGGAAGTTCTCTATCTGGTCGCGGATGGGGGGCGGGGGCCGAGACTTGGCCAGCGGCAGGGTGTGTCCTCTCTCCCGTATGTCGCTTCCTGCTTTATTTGCGCAAACCTTTTCCAAAGGAGCAGCAGACAGCTAGCAAGGCGGGGAGAGCAGAAAATCACCTGGTTACGATACCACCTGGGAGGTGGAAGTCCCGAGAACCAGGCGAAAAAACCTGAACTGTCTACCTGCACCCATCGCCGCCTCCATCTCTTTTGCAGGAGATCACAGGGCTTCTCCATCAATGACAGGTCTGCCTATTAGCCATCGCCCCCGATAGTTCTCACAAAGCAGACGGGGAGGCTGCCTCTTTTCAAAGGCGAAGCGACGGCGGACCGATCGGAACCCACACCCTGACTTCGATCTTTCCCCGTTTCTCCTTGGCACTGCCTTGGCGAGCAGCCCGGCCTCCAGCTGCCCGGATGCTCTTTCCCAGGCAGAAGCGACGTAACAGCCCACCCGACAGCGCAGGGTAGCCAGAGAAAAGAAGGAGCGAAGCAGCGCCCCGGCGACGGAAGAGCTGCCGCAGTAGAGCCGGCCAGAAGCGGGCTCGTCTTCCCCTGCCGGAAGGGAGACCAGAGCCGGTCGGGTGCAGAGCGCCCACGAGCGCAGGGCTTTAGGAGGCGCCGCCGGCGCATCCAGCCCGTCCCTCTCGGCGCGCACGCAGCTGCCGCGGCTTCCCGGCCACCTGCCGCAGCAAGCCGGGGGGACCGCAGCAAGCGCGCAGACACCCCTCGCAGCTGCTACCTGGCAGAAGGCGATCCGGACGGGGAGCGGGGGATAAAGAGAAAGCGCGCCGGCCACTTACCGCTTTGCTCCCCCAGGAACACCAATTTGAATTTCCTAAGTGGGTTCCCGAAATCGCCTCCCGTCGACATGATGCGCCTGGCTCGGCAGAGGGCTGCGCCGGGAGGAAAGCGAGGGCAGGGCGGGGAGAAGCAGCGTCTGCGGACTGGCTTCTTCGCTCAGGGCGACCCTAGCGCTCCCCTGCCCTCGCCACCCGCGGAAGGAGGCTCCGACCTCGGCGTTCTACAGGGGAGCCGCCAGAGCGGGGCGCAGCCTGCAGCTGGCGGGCAAGGACGTGCGTCCGCACCGGAGGAGTGCTGCGGGAGATGCCGGAGCGAGCGCGCTGCTCTTGGCCGCCTGCGCCTGCTGCCGCTGCTGCTGCTCCTGGATGCCGCCTGCCTCTCGCCTCGCCTCGCCTCCCTCCCCAGTCCACGGCGCCTGCGCTCTGGCCCTATCCTGGCCAGCCTGATGTCATGCTGGAGCGCCAGCAGTCCAATGCGGTGCTGCAGGAGAGGGCTGTGCTTGTGCACACACGAACCCGGATTGCTGGTGGGGAAGGAGGGGCTCGTGGGTGTGTGATCCCGTGAAGAGGGTGATCCCAATCCCAGAAGGAGTTGGCTGCACCTTCCCGCAGGAGCAGAGGCCTAACTGCTCCTGTCGCCTCTCATTCACACCCAGCTGGTGTCCTCCCTCCCCCGCATCTCAACGGCACCTGCTGGGACTGAGCAGGTGCGAAGGAAGCCACAAGTGTGTCTCTGGAGTACGAAAAGGCAGACAAATTGGCTGGTTGATGATGAATTGCTCCTCACTCCCAGACTTGGCACTAAACAATCTGGAATTCTAATTCTTTTCTGGTGGTTTTAGCAACACCAGTTGCCAGTGGAGATTTGCACTATTTTTGAGCATCTGTCTATCAACTCTCTATCTCAGGAGCAGGGAGCAACAGAGGTGGGCGAATGGGTGTATTGGTAACACATAGTAGCCAGCCTGGAATTGCCTGGCTGTATTATAGTTGTTGGGTGTGGCAGTGGAAATTAGGGGTAATGAACAGATCAAGAGATAGATGGGCAAAAAGTGTGAGCACTAGTGACCTCATGGATTCGGGGGTAATGCTTTTTAAATGCATACACATAGTTCTGTACAGCCTGTTTAAGTACTCCTATTTTATACTTGTCCAATGATATAAAATCCATATTTTTGCAATCAAATAACATGAAATAATAACCCAATGTTATTCCTAATGAGAGCCAGTTTTGGTCTAGTCTGGTAAGGCACCAGACTAGAAACCAGGAGACCAAGAGTTCTAATCCCATGAAGCCAGCGGGGTGACCTTGGGCTAGTCATTCTCTCTCAGCCCTAGGAAGCAGGCAAGGGCAAACCACTTTGTAAAAGCCTTGCCAAGAAAACTGCTGGGACTAATCCAGGCAGTCTTCAGAAGTCAACACTGACTCAAAGGCAACCCCCCCGCCCCCCGCAAAAAAATCTAGAGAAAGACTGGGCACCATTTTAATAGTCCAAATTGACTGAGAGTACCTGCTTTCTTGAACCTGATGTGCTAGAGAATTTTCTTCATTAGCTGTATAAAGTCATTTTAAAATTGACGGATATATGTCAAATGGTTTGGAATCACCTGAATACAGAGTCCCATTGAAACCAGTCAAACAGCTATAATATAGCTGCAGCTATAAAATGAGTTCAGATATTAGCTCACTTAAGCTTGCTTCAGTGAGTTAGTGGTGGTAACCAGAAGAAATCAGAGTCAGGTCAAGTATGATCTGTACAATGATGAAAACATGGAGGCAGCAATATCTGGGACTGATTCAGTGGGACTAAATTTTGCATTCTCATACTTGTGTGGGAATAAGGCTTACTGAACGCCATAAGGCTTCTGAGTAGATGTGCATAGGCTTGTACTGACTAAATCTGGATCCAACTGATGGATATGGAGGAGAAGTTATCTGGTCTTGCTGATTGTACTTAAGGTGGAAAATGAAGTAGTGGCTACAAAGGTGAAGATAAAGACCCTTTCATATTCTTTTTAGAAGAATATATCTAGCCTGAAATCTATGTTATTAAGAAACATTTTATATCACATGGTAAACATTGGCTGTCTATATAAACAATATTTTATTGATTTGGTGAATTCCTTAGAAAAGTTTGGTTTCTTCACACATTCCCACGTGCATCAACACCATGCTGCTGTTTATGAGAAAGACATGTCTATACATATTCATTTAATGGTTAGGAATCAAGCTAGGAGCCTTTTCAAAAATCTGAAAGGAGGAAGGAGAAAAGTGAGAATGATCATTTGAGCCACACATGCATCTTTTTCAACTTCATTCTATGGCAATCTGACTGTTTTAATCTGAAGTTAGTCCACCAGGATACTGGACTGTGAAGAGGGAAAGTATCTATCTGATTGTTTCAAATAATCATACTCTGAATGGGATCAACTGCATGCATTGAGTAGGGCAATTGTTTAAAAAGCCCAAGCCCAAATTTATGAGAGCTGGTATATATTTTTTCATTATATCTCAGTGGGCTGTGTATGTATGTGTGTGCACGTCTACCTATCTACGAAATTAATCCTAAATTAAAAGGGCAAGTCACAGCAATGACAGCATGTAATTGACCTAAGGTGATCTTGAAAAAGCTAAGTGTGGTCAGACCTGGTTAGTATTTGGATGGGAGACTACCAAGCAATCCTAAGGTTATAGACTAGACGTGTTAAAAAAAAATCTCTGAAGAAGTTAGAGGAGAAACTATTTCCATACAGTTGCCAAGAAGACAACACAGACATGTCCATAGAAGCAACAGGAGTTGAGTTTGATTTGAGGAAATGTTACTTTTAAGTGTAGAACTCACTGAATCCAGTTCTGTGCTATCTAAAAGTATCTGTTTGTACCAAAGACAATTGCCCTTACTATATGGATCTCAGACATATGGCATAGAACAGTGTTTCTCAACCTCAGCAATTTTAAGATTGCAGACTTCAACTCCCAGAATTCCCTAGCCAGGCTGGCTGGGGAATGATGGGAATTGAAGTCCACACATCTTAAAATTGCTAGGGAATTCTGGGAGTTGAAGTCCACACATCTTGAAACTGCTGAGGTTGAGAAACATTAACATAGAAGACAACCTTGTGGGATACTTTATCTTTACAAAAAAATTCTCATAATTCAGAAGGGACATGCACTTTTTTAGCAGAGTGAAAACAGTATTGTGGCCCATGTTCTGTATCTGTCCATGAAACCTGGGGAGTCTTACCACACTGGGCAACAATTAATTAAAAAAAAGTATGTTAACAAAAGGTGAATGCTTCTAGATAATGGACAATTTATCCAATTAGTTTTACATACATTGTAAGACAAATGAGAGCAATCTATGCCATCTGAAGAGAGTTAATGGATTTCACTTTCCAGTAAATGCACAGAGAGGGCCAATATATATTTTCCTTCTTTTTGTGCATCTGCAAGTGAAATAAAAATAAAAACTTAATAGAAAAAAAAGACTACCCAACATACAAGGAAACAATATAGTAAGGTAATCTTATCTGCAGTGAGCATTAAAATCCAACATTTCTGAGCAATGTTTCAATCAGTATAATTGGAAATAGATTGAGTGATAAACCAACCCCCCTCATCCAAGCCTCTTGCAGCCTGTGTTCAGCGAATTAAGTGAATTTTGGAGCCTGACCACAAAATCCAGGATACTCACCTTAGTGAGAATTTCTCCCCATTCTCACTAGTGCTGCGTCAGTTCTAAAGTGCCTTGGCTTTCACCCCATGTGTGGGCTCAAAGGGGCAGAACCTGAGACATGGGCACAGTAGAGCCCACTAAGCAAACAGAAACTGGGGAAACACCAAATCCCAGTTGTTAAAGTGTTATTAATATTTTTGTGACTCATAGGCCCCACAATTCCACTACTCTTTTAAGTATGCCATTTGTCAGATGATAACAGACAGGCACCGGATATTCAACTCTGTTGGATCTCCTAACCGCTGCATGCTTCCTATCCACATTCTGATTATCCTTTCCTTTTGTTAGGTATCCAGATCATTTCCTGAAATATATGAAGGTGCATCCTCAATCTGTTGGATTTCATACTCTTTATGAACTTTATTTATTGACTGGCAAGATGTCCACAGAATAATAAAAATGTATCAAAAGGAGGCAATAAACAGAGGGGAAAAAGTGCTATTCTCAACTTCCTTTTAATATTCCAGCTTAGAGTTAAAAGGAAAACAAGAATGTGAAAGAATTTTAATTTCTAGTACTGATTTGAAAGCCAACAATGGGATTGATTATTCTTTGTGGACACACATAGCAACTTTGCTCTGTTCTTGCATAATTACATAACAAATTCTGTTTGACATCAGAAATTACAACTGGATCTGTGTTCTATTAAATATAAATGGTGTGGACTGCATAGGTAATGGAGCTCTGTGGTTCCCACCTAGGCTTGCTGCACATTTTCTGTGCTGTCTTCTTCCTTTCTTTGGTTACTGTTCTATTGTCTCATCTGCTTTTTTTCTTCAAAATTGTTGTTGGAAGGGAGCCACCTACTAAGCAACCAAAGGAAGGTATTGATGAAAGTAATATGGTGGACTCCCAGAAGTGTTTTCATACAGCTTCCCTTCCCTCAGTCACATGTAAGATTTTTTGAATACTGCACTTACTTATTTCCCACTGGGCTTCATCTGGGGTTTCTCCCCACTTAATCTTTTCTTTCAAAGCATTTTATATTTATAGGGCATAGACACAAAAACTCTGTCAGTCTGAAGGCTGCACCAAACTTTGCACAACTGTATTAAGAGATGGGGTAAGATCTGAAGTAGGTAGAACCACTTTTATTTTTAAAATTTTTATTTATTGCCTTTATTTTGAAACATTTTTCCTAATAGCAAAACCCCCCCCCCCCAAAAGTTGCAAATTTTTTTCTGCATTAGTAGAGGGCAGTGTAGACTTATTTCAGTTTCTTCTATGGTTGAAAAAAGATGCAGGTTTTTTTTC